CTTATGGCAGCTTTTGCACTCTGCTGATCGGGCTGGGCACGAAGAGTAATTGGCTTTGTGGGATGTACTTTCACATAGGTAACATGTGATATTTTTTATTATGCTGCTCTTCAGTGAGGGGAGCACTTTAGAGACCTCAAAAAGTTCACCAGAACGGACAAACTCCTTTGACTGCCTTGATATTTCATCTTTAATAAACGCTAATTCACAGGCTTTCTCCCAAGTCAGTTTATCAGCATCCTCTTTCAAGAGTGATTCACGAAGTCGATCATCTTTTATGCCGGATGTGAATTGCTGAATCAACACTGATCCTTCAGTTTTTTCTGTGGAACTTTAGAATACTCACAAAATCGTACTGCTCGGTTTAATCCAGAAACAAACTGCTTCAGTGGCTCCCCATTTTCCTGAATAACGCGAGAGAATCGGAATCGAGCAGTGAACACATTCAGTTGCGATCCCACGGAACGGTCTAAGCTGCTGAGAGCAGATTGTACGTTGGAATACGCTTGTAAATTGAGATCGTCAAATTTTCGCTGTCCTTCGTCTCCGAGCAAATGATACAAAAGCCTTAACTTGTGGGTTTCATCCAGAACAATCAATGGATTTAGCACAGGCAGGAGATCGATATAATTGTTGAACGAAGTTTTCCATTGTTCCCAGGACTCTGGAGTAGGTTGAATGTTACGGTCTATCCAAAATGGAGCAGGTGGAGTAATTCCTGAACACATGTTGCGACGCCAAATGTTGTATTCAGTAGAACTCGTAATATACACGTAAGTAAATCCTTTTAATTAGCAGAGAACGGTAGCAACGTGATTCATGTAAATTAGCAGAAGCATGTTCTCAGTCGGTACTGGCCGTACAAGTAATCAGCAGTCATCCAATCAATACCAAGCATACACGTGGTGCAGTCTGATTGGTCAATGTAATCAAGGTTGCATGTGAGGAACGTCCATGTCACGTGCGTGTATGTCTGTACGTCTGTGTGTGTATCGAGTATTGATGTTGCGCGTTCAAGGGGACAATGAATACAAATGTTATCGAACAAATGCGTTAAACAGCACAATAGTACGTAATCGAAGAAACTCCTCGATCCATCCTAGTACGAGTCCACGGATTCCATAGTTATACAGATTCCGTATCAGTATTTGATGATTCACCCTATAAAATGACTTAGAGAATTCCAGGTAAGTAACATCTACCCCTTTGCCTTGGTCTACAGCATGAGTCCAATCGTCCCGAACCAAAATCAAGTTAGTTGCGCATGAAGGATTTTTGCGAAACCCGTGCTGGGCTGGTGATAGTAAAGCATTATTCTCCAGATAATCCATTACAGAATCCGCAACAATGGATTCCATGACTTTGACAATACTGGAAAGACAGTAACGGGTCGGTAGTTGGCTGGGTCACCACGGCATCCACCTTTGTAAATTGGTGAAATAACATTGTTTTTTCACCCATCAGGAAGCACAGTGTCTTCAAACAATTTTTGGTATAGTTCACTAAAGGGATCGGCTATGTGACTCGCCAGGGTGATAAGGGCTTGTGGATGTATGTTATCTAAACCCGGTGATGAGTTTTTCTTTAAAGCCAGGAGCTTTGCCTTTATCCTTTCGGAAGAAAAGATAATATCTGTCAGTAATGCAGGAGGAATGTATTCCAGCAAACGAGGAAGTACTAATTCAGTATTACTAGGCACTTTGTTCACTTGAGAGTACTGTAGTCTAAGCATTTCTGCAGCCTCATTTTTTTGTTGTCAAAACACGTCCTGTTAAGTTTAGTATCGAAATCCCATGTTTGATTTTCCGGGAAGCGTTTACATGCTTATATAATAGCTTAGGGTTTGCGATAAATGTTCTCGCCAGCATATCATGATAAGTGTTTTTTCTTCCCGCATCGTTTGGTGCAATGGTTTCGAAGGTGCCTGTAAGCTTCCCAAGTGATGGAGCATGGAGAACGTAAAAGTCTCTTCGCATTATCCATTTCCTAGCTCGACTGCGGATTGCTAATTTTCGAACGGTCGGCTGGCATACACGCTTGATTATCGTAACAGCAGCCACCAATGTTGCGATACTGTTGGTAAATGTTCTCCAGGATTCCAGGTGATTGCATCCTATATCAGGGGAGATCCACTGGATTCCATGAACCAGGGTGTTAAGTCTTGCATAGTCAGTTATGATGCGTAAGCGATCCAAAGAAACTGCTGTCACTGATGCATAGCAAATGTTTTCGAACAATAATGCAGCGTGATCACTGCTCCCCAACGGAGTTGCGATTACAACTAATTCTGACATCAGTTCTTCATTTGTCAGTACTAGATCCAAAGTTGACGAAGTTTGGTTGGTTCCAAACCTGGTGGGTCCTTTCACATGATTGCACAACGGATGTGACTGGATGAACTGCATGAATTATCGTTCAAACGGCGTACATGAGATTGCCATGTTGCTCAGGTTTAGGCAGTTAAAGTCACCCATATTTAGAACTTAGGTGACAAGAAATAAAACATAGTTTGGAATAAAGTCTCATTTAATGAATTTGCTGACGAAGGAGGACGATAAACACATCGATCAAGCCGATGTCATGTTGCGTTAGCTTGAATTCACACCATAACGTATCCGAAGCAGCGAATGGGCGCTCAATTTGCTCACACTGCAATCTGTTATGATAATAGAGCAATACGCCCCCACCTCGAGTTGGACGACCATGCCTTAATAGCTCCATGCCTGGTAATCGCACCTCAGAGTTTAAAATGTCGGTCGTCAATGAGGTTTCGGTTATGGCAATGAGATCCCATTGACCGGTCCGACAAAATAGTTTCACTTCTGGAAACTTACTGAGAAAACCCTGAGCATTGGTGTAGAAGCAGTTCCATCGTTGTTGGTGCAGAAATCCCTTAGAGTTTAGGGGCGTCATTTGGCTGACCTCCTCATCGTCGGCCAGCAGACGTTTATTGCGGTAGGTGTTTGTTGGATTTGGTCTGATGGGGTCGGAGTGCAGTAAGAAGTTTGTGGTGTTTCACGCGCAATGTGATTGACAGTTTCGACCGGTGGACAATTTTTCCGTCTTGAAGTCAGCATCGTTCTTACGCGTGATTCTTTGGGCCCTATGGCTCAGTGTTCATATCATGACTGGAGAACTGTGCTTACCCTTTCTGGTGTCCCAAGAGTTACTTTCAGTATTTGCGGGCCCCATTCGCTATAGTAGGGAGAACGCGGAAGGCATTTAATGGCCACGAGAGAAACGTTGCGGTATTCTGACAATTATGGAATGAAGCGCCATTCGTTCAAATCATTTTTTCAACAGTTAGGTTCTGGATTCTGGGAGCTGTTACACTCCGTGTATGCGATTCGCTCGCAAGTTGTCTGCATCGCTCGCATTGTTAGGATTGTTTCGTCGGGGTACACGCTCGGTTCACGGTCTGTCCGGTAAAATTCTGGTATTACTAGGCCCATCTGCAATGAGGAAACTAGAAAGAAGAACGTTTTCAAAGTCTTCTACACTGGCCAGCGTCACACGAAGTAACCGAAATGAGGTGATGTCGGTTGGCGCCAGAGACGTGTGAGGTATATCAAACCTCTATCCCGATGTGGTGGCATTGCCACAGATGATATTGCACGGCTGGCCAATGAAAGTCTGCCTCACCGTATAACAACTGACTAGCTGAGCGAAGTGACACTAGAATTTGTGCACTTACTGCAGCACTTAGATAACTCTCCAACGTCTAGCATGGAGATAAAACACGAAACGGACAGAGACCCGGTATGGTTCCAAGTTAAACGGATGTTGTTGCACGGCTGGCCAATGAAAGTCACAGACGAACTTCGTCCTTACTTTAATTGTCGTTATGAACTGAGCCTGTATGACGGATGCTTACTAAGGACTCTTGCATAATTTCCCAAGAATCAGTTAGGAACCAATTACTGAAAGAACTACACTACACCACACCGCGTGCAATACAAAAGAAGGCGCTCGCGAGATCGTACGTTTGGTGGCCTCAGTTGAACAAAAATATCAAGCGTTTCTGTGACTACTGCCAACAACACCAAAATAATAAACCAACAGGACCCATACAGCCATGGATGGTCTATGGCAGCGAGTGGATACGGGTTATTTCGGACCCGTTGAGGGAAAGATATTGTTACTTATGATAGACGTCAACTCAAAGTGGATTGATATCCATATTGTACCCAACATCACATCCGAGAGCACCGTCAACAAAGTGCGTTCGAGTTTTGGCATATACGGAGTGTCTAAAATAATATGCACAAACAACGGCCCCCAAATGACCTGCGCAGCATTCAAGGATTTTCTGAAAAGTAACGGTGTCCATCATATCACATTAACACCCCATCCCCCGTTATCCAACGGTCTAGCTGAGAGAACCGTCCAAACAGTTAAGAACGGATTGCGCAAGCAGCGACTGGCTTCATTATAGACTAAACGCCTTTAGAATCCACCGATAAAACTCTGTGAGAGGTGATGTTTGTGCGACGATTGAGGGCACGATTAGACTTCATTTTCCCTGACCCACGTGAATCGATGCGGCGGAACATGTACCGCATGCAAAGAGGCAAACAAGTCGGTTTATCGCAGGGAAAGGAACTTGATTCTAAAGTTTATACAAAATTGTCCCACGAGCGCCTTTGGGTACCCGGGACATTGCTCAAGCAGTCCGGAACGCCAACTGCCATGGAACTTGGCGATAGAAAAACGGTCCGTCGGCACACGAATCATGTGCGTTCGTGCCCGACCAATAGGGTCACTGTCGAAGACTCAAATGAGAGTTTGGAAAATCACGAGGAGACAAACAGTGACACTCCACAAGCCATTCTCGTTTGTGACGAACCGATTGCGGTCCGCAAGCTCATACATGCACCAAAACCAATTGACCGTTTTGTTTCCGGGCAATGATCAAGCTGGACTGTGAGGAGATGTTGCAAACATACCTTCGGCTAAACTGCGTACGTTTTGCCAAGCTGCGCATCGTTAATTTGATCATTCCATCGATGTTATCGATTGATGTTTATTCAGATCGATAAACCCCACGCGCTTGTCCATGCCAATACTGCCGGCCGACTGGGGCCCGATCTTGATCGGCTGTTAGTTCCATTACTGCTTTGTTGATCGTACGCTTGACACGACTGACTATGAACGAGTTATAAAAATCTATCCCAAGCTGTGTACGGTTGTTCTACTTTACCAGCGGGCTACGGGTCCGGGACTATACAGTTTGAAACTGCAAACGTCACACATCGGCCACAATTCAAATTTGAGACTGGAATCACAGGCGATTGTATATAATCTTGAACCAATTAGACTGTCCGGTTTGAAATGCGATAGTCCGATGCACACCAGTCATAGAAACACAATAGACGCAATGGATCGAACGATCAATCCAAACGATACTTTCCAACACATCATTCTTTTGAAAGCTTTTCCCTATGCTCCTGGTGAATATATCAATCTGTTTCGTGTTCGGGATGGAGATTGCGCTGTCAGACTTATCGTTGTTATTTCTCGCTGCGGTTCTGGTCGTCTGATTTCAACATTCTCCCGCGCAGTGTTTGAATCTTCTCTTTCTTCGTCTTCGTCGCCATTCTCATCCATCTACCTCTAATGAACTCTTTTTCTTCGTATTACCCGCTCACGGCAGCGAACTAGGAACGATTTTGTTTAGTTGCTTGTGATATCACTTTTCTCCCACTTACCGTCATCTTCTCCTTTGTATGGTGGTTGTACCCAAACCTGGTCTCCTGATCTGAGTGACATCAGAGGTTTACTGCCATAATCGTAATACCTCTTCTTTAGTACCATGCGTTTCTTTAGCCTTGACTGTATGAATATTGATGGTGTAGTCTGTGGCTGTAGTAACTCGTCACAAATATGTGCGTCTGAAAAATGAACGTTGGCTCGGGAGGGTTCCCATGCTGGCCGACGGTATGTTCCGCAAATCGAGCAGAGCCATTAGTGGGTCGCTATCATCCTCGTGGCATTTCTTAATAAGCTTCTTTGCCAAAGGGACTGACTGTGATGGGGGCTAGTAACGTTGTGCTCGAGGTGTCATCTTTTACTGAATTTCTGGAATTCAATATTAAGTAATTGGGGACCACTATAGGAAATCACCTGAAGTGGTATTCCGTGTCATACAAAATGAACGCGCAATTTATCAGTGATCTGTGTCAATTTACTGAATCGGAGTTAATCGACTTCACCGTAGTAATCAAAAGTTATCATACAGTTGTCAATCCCCAGATGAAAACATCCGGCGCTACCATCTTCTGGTTTTGCACGCATATTCATCGGTTCCTTCGTTTGTCGTTGATCAAATTTTTCAGCAAATTTCACGTTTAGTAATCGACTGTTTTATCTGCTCCGACATACCCGGTCAAAAATATGTCTCCCTGGCGCGACTGGGGCATCCGTTGATATCGGCGTGAGAGCAACGTTTCAAATGCATTACGTATTGTTGAATCGCCTTCGGCACTATCAGCCTTTCACAACGAAAAATCATTTCATTGTGAACAGTTAGTTCATATCGGAATTTGACGTAGAGCAATGCGTCCATCGGAAGAGCCTTTTTGTTTTCTGGCCAACTACGAGTGATAAATACTTTGATTTCTTGCATGCTGTGATCGTCAATAGTAGCACTTTGTTTATGAGACATCTCGAACTGCGTCACTGCCAATGCAACGTTTACGTATTCCAATTTTTGTTCCTGTCTTGTGTCAGGCAGTGTAGTTCGTAATAAAGTGTCCGCCAAAAACATTTGTTAACCTTCTTTGTAATACAGTTCATAATCGTATTTCTGTGGACATATTAGGATCGATTGCAATCTCCTTAGTGCTCGATGGACTTGTTTTATCCACAATCATAATCAGTGGTTTGTGATCCGAGTATACGTGCTAAAGCCAACCAGATGTTTGGTCATGGAACTTCTTCAGCGCATCCACAACTGCTAGCATTTCTTTCTCAATTTGGACATATCTTTGTTCACAGGCCGTTAGTGCCCTAGTCCGGTAATTTAATGGACGCCCATTTTGAAGGAGTACGGCACCAAAGCTAAATTAACTGCTGTCCATTATGTGCACAGAGGTGCGTTGGGATCGAAAAATGCCATCACTGGTGCTTCCACAATGAGTTGCCTGACGCAATCCAAAGCCACCTGTTGTTCGTGTGTCCAAAGCAACGTTTCTCCGTTATGCATCAAACGTTGAATTGGCGGCAGTTATTTCGCTATTTCTGGTAGAAATCTGCTGAGATAGTTCATCATTCCACTGAAAGATGATACGCTTTTCGTATCGGTTGGGGAAGGCATTCCTGCAATCATTTTTATCTTTTCCGGGTCGGGTTGGATCCCTTCGCTTGTTAGTATGTGACCGTGAAAGCTGACTTCCGATTGACGGAAGATTAGTGTGGTGATCCAGGCATACGTGACCGCATTCCAAGTACGACCAGGTACAGCTTCATGTCATCCAATCACAGTTCAGGAAACTGGACCAGTGGTACACCGGGCGAACATTACAGTACATGCGATGCGTTTGCTCAAACGGTTAAGTGATTAGACGATGGTCCTTCAACCAATGATATGGCTTCCTATAAAACATGCTCTATGTCTGTGAATAAACATTGACACTTTCTGCTACCAATTCTCCGTGTATTTCATTGGTGTCCACAGTTCGGGTTGGAGCCAATCCAATTCTGAGTATTACACTTCGGGTTCTTGTATTCCGATATTCAATACCATTCCGATTATCACAATTTGGCGTCGCCCAATGAAGATTCCTGCCATTGAACAATTGAACCTCCACGGAAGCCCAAAGGAAATCGAAGAGTGGTTTAATCGTTTCGAACTATGGAGCAGCATCCGGAAAGTAGGAATGTAAAACGAATCGGTCCAATTCCTCACGTTTTGGCGCCCGAGAGCTCTGTTTCCTAGTGAAACATTTAGCGTTCCCGAGTGTGTTGTTTGTATCCAAGATTCCTGGCTTGACCATAATGTCGGGGACTCACTAATTGGAATCAATGGTTTTTAATGCTTCCGTAAGGATAGGAAGCACTGTAGGAAGAAAACAGGAGGTGGAGTGATCACGTACATCAACCCAA